ATTTTGTATCTTACAGTTTGTTAGTTAACAAATAATTTAATTTAAATAATAATTTATATTATTTTTTAATCTTAACCATTAATCATAATTTTATAAAATTTATTTTAATAAATAAAATTTAATAAAAATTGTTAGCTTAATATTTACTAAATAAGCAGCTAGTCCATTTAATTCATAAGTTTCTATTTGTGGTATAATGTATTTATAATTAATAATTTATAGAAAGTGATGATTGAAATATGACATTTATAAATATACATGTATAACATAATACACCTGTCCATAAGTCCTTGAGCTGTCTGTGCTGATTGTAAGGGCATATAAGTTAGAAAAATGCATACAGGTGCCCAATGGGTGTGCAACACGTTTGTTAGCTTAATTGTAAATTATAAAATGTGGAAAGTTTTAAATACTACAATAATAAAAATTATTATACAATCTTATTTAATAATATTAATTGTTACTTGACCAAGACTTGATTAATACTTACTGTTAGTATTAAATTATTTTATTAAAATAAACTTTTTATTTGTAACTGTAATTTTAAATTAATTTATAAGTAAAATTAGTGGTATTGTTTTACAAATTAAGCATGGTCGTTAAGAGGTGGATCATTTTAAATATAATATTTTATTTTGATAAAATAAATACATAAAATAGTTATATTTAAATATAATTAAAATATTTTAAAAACTACTCTGGTATATTTCATAAATTAATTAAATACAGTGTACTAGTGTGGTATGTGCAGAGCTCTCATTTCAAGTAATACTAATGCATAGCATCACGTGAAAAAATATGATAAGAAAATACTTGATTAACAGATTAAAATTCTGAAAGTATGTGATTTTGCTGTAAACATATTTTGATTTTAACATAAAATTCTAACAAGTAATTGAAAATATTTTAGTCATTTAAACAGTAGACTACAATCATCAAAGGTGTGCTGACTAACTAAATAGTACATTTAACTACATTTGCAAACTATATTAGTGGATAGCTCAGTTGGTAGAGCGGAGGCGTCGGCCCCACTGACCAACACATCAATCAAACGCTGAATTATGCACTGAATTAACTAAATAATGTACTGATTTAGCTCAATTGTGCACTGAATTAACTAAATAATGTACTGATTTAGCTTGCGGAGGCGTCCGCCCCACTGACCAACACATCAATCAAACGCTGAATTATGCACTGAATTAACTAAATAATGTACTGATTTAGCTCAATTGTGCACTGAATTAACTAAATAATGTACTGATTTAGCTTAATTGTGTACTAGATTAACTAAATAATGCACTAATTTAGCTTAATTATAAACTAAATTAACTTAATTATGCACTGAATTAACTAATTTATTACTAAATTAGCTTAATTATGCATTAAATTAACTTAATTGCGTATTATATAATGTAATTGTTTGTTAAAAGATGTAATAAAGTTTTACATAATTCAACATATTATATTTTCCAAAATTTTTTTACGTGATGTAAACCTCACTTTTAACTAAAAATTACTTGAAATGAGAGCTCTGATAATGCATATAAAAACTTTGAAAATTGTGCTATTATCGGAATCTTGACCACTGGATTATGACCATACCACCTTCCCATAGATTATCGGACCCCGATATTCTTAATTTAGCATGGTTAAACTATATAATCATACAGGTTTTAATTTAAAAAGAGTTGTACAATGAGCGACACCCCATTGTGAGTACAGTAATACCATTTAGTTTTTAGAGTTATAAGCAGCGACATGAAAACAAAAGCGAAAAGCACGTTATAATATTTTATAATAAATATATTTTTACATTAACTATGTTATTTTGCTATAAAACTAAATTTTTATTTATTAATATTATTAGAATTTTTTGTTTTAAAAATATAGACGACAGTATTCAACAATGGATCCCAATCTAAACGGACCGGTATTTAAATTGCAATTAATATTAGACGCGATGCTAACTAGAAATATACATAAAAGGCCCGAATGTTCGGAAATATTATCAAATTATAACGAGTGGTCTATCGATATGAATATTCCCGCAAATGATATTGAATTTGATTATATATTAAGTAGACTTAAAACTAATGGAAACTCTTTTTTCTATGAGTTTTTCAATGCAAACTATACTAAACTAAATATTAATGAGAAAGTTTTTCAAGACTTTTTGAAAATTGGTACAGGAGGCTTTGGACAAGTGTTCAAGGTGAAATATAACTTTAATCTTAAGGAGTACGCATTGAAACGAATTGAGTTTAAAGGTATTATTTCGAGATGAGATAATCTAAACAAGAGCATTTACAAACAACTTTAGGATAAAGTGCTTACAAATATACTATGTAGATTTTCTCACCTCATATTTTGGTTTTATATAAATTATTAATTTTGAAAATGTTTTCACAGATTTTAACGAAACCGAAATGAAAACTATTTCCCGAGAGGTGGAGGGCCTGTCGAAAGTGAGGTCACCATATATTGTCCAGTATTACGACTCGTGGATTAAAAATGAATGTCAACTCATTGTAATGGAGTTGTGTTCACAAAGTCTTAAAAATATTCTTGAATTCAAACGAGAAGTATTTGATCGACAACTGGGAGAAGCTATGAATTCATATGAATATTACATTTCATGTGAAATATTCCGTCAAATTTTAGAAAGTGTTCAGTATTTGCATGAATTGAATCCACAGATCATCCACAGAGACCTCAAACCCGACAATATATTAATCGCCAAAAATGTAAGCAACGGTAGATTTTTGAAGTTATGTGACTTCGGTTTGGCTACAGTTCACGACAAATATATTCACAATAATACACAATATAAACACACCAAAGAGGTCGGGGATGTCCACTATATGGCACCAGAAGTAATTCAGGGCCGCAAATATGATCACAAGTCCGATATCTATAGCCTGGCACTTATTGGCGGTGAAATATTTGACGTGGATGTTTCATGCATAGATACGAGCAAGTAAGTTTAATAAAAATATAAATTTAAATTTAACTTAAATTAACTTAAATTAACTTAAATTAACTTAAATTTAAATTTAAAAATAACAGTCCATCTGTATATTCTACTACTTATGAAGTATTGAACGCACCGGTAGTTAATTTGCACCAAATATTGGACTCAATGTTTACACAGAAATGGCTTCAAAGACCCGAATGTCGGGAAGTGTTGGCTAAACATAAGGAGTGGACTATCGATCGGAATATTATTATAAATAGTACTGAATTTGAGCCACAAATAGAGAAACTGAAAACAAATGAAAACACATTTTTCTATGAATTCTTAACATTTCTCTTAAAATAATTACATAGCACATGATTTACTTGTATTCAATATATAGAATGTAAAAGAAACAAGTACGACTAATTAAATTGATTAATTTTTATTTTAATAATTACACGTGATCAATCAAATTTTTATAAATAGGTCCTAGAATACATAGAATAGAGGTGTTATACAACAAGTATATTTATATAAATTAAAGTACTCGCGAACAGTATTTTGAGTACATTTATATTCATAAAACATATATATATATATATATATATAAACATACTATTATAATTTATAAACTAAAACCTAAACTTATTTTACATTTAGTGAAAATATTAGTAATTTAAAGCATCATGAGTAATAAATTTCTAACCACCTTGCTATTAATTGTTATGATCTTTCCCATATTAAGTAAGTATAAAATTGTATTAAAATAATTAAAATGAATGAAAATATTGTATTTTTATTTTGTTGATGAGGGCACAGGTATGCATATTAGCGGTGATAGACTGGGATCGGGCTATAAACAGGAGGCCCGGCAGACGAATTAAAGTCTAGAAACGGCTAAACACGAGGTGGAGGGACAACTGAGACAAAATGCTCATGTTTAATATTATAGATTAAATAAATATTGTTTTATTTTAAAAGTTGATTTAATACTATCCTTATTGTTAATTCATAATTTCAAGCACAATTTTAAAATTTTTTATTCATGCGAGTTAATTTAAAATATTTAAATAATATATAAATTGTAGTATCTAGATTGATTTACATAAACTTATCGTATAAATGTATTAAAATTATTAACCTTTGATATGTTAAACATAGTTAAAGTTTTAAATAATCATTTATATATTATACCATAATATTTCTAATTTCTTAAAATTTTTGTTAAATTAAAATTAAAATGTTAAATTAAATAACAAATACTTATTCAAACAAGTTAGCCAACAAAAAATAATTAGTACCATAAATATGTTTGTTTGTTTAAAACTTAAAATTAAGTATTTGTTTAAAACTTGTAATTATTTGTAGGATTAATAATATTCTTTATTTTATAAAAATTTAAAATTATACTTAAATATATTGTATCATATTTTTTTATTTTACATAACTTGTAATCTTTTAATTTAACGTTATTATAACTTTTCATAATTATATTTCTAATCATAAAACAAATATATTTATGCATTTTAATATGTACTTAAGTAGAAAAGTCCTTAATTGAAATCACCTGTGTTCAATGTAAATTACAGTTTACAATAAGTAGGTTTAAATTACAAAAATAATTTCATAACTAAATTAATACGTAATAATATCCTAATAGTACACAGCTCATTAAACAATGTAATCTGGGGTATACCTATAAAAAGACCCTGCACGGTATGCAAAACTAGTACTCAAACACAAATCTCAACACAATTTCAACAATGAATACTAAACTGATCGCTATTTTCTTGATAGCTATGGTTATCGTTAGTTGCGGTAAATATACTAAAAATTAGTTTTTGATTTCAAATTTAAATTTTAAATTTTACTTTTATTTAGTGACCGCACATGAGTCCCATGGCGAGGGAGGAGGACAGGGAGGACATGGAGGTAAAGGGCATAGTAGTCAAGGCAAAGGTGGCCATAAGCACCGGGAGGGTGGCAAGTCCAGAAATAGCAATAGCCAGCAAGGTAATACGCAATCACCATGAGCTACCAACGGATATGAATGTTCTTAAACTTTATTAACAATTTATTATAAAAAAATTTGAATAGTTTCATTATGATAAAATTTTTATTTTTCAAAATTTATTTAAGTAATAAAATTGAATAAAACAAATTTTTAAAATAATTTACATAATACTTTCAATGCAATATCATTATTTTTAATTGACTCTTAAAATACAGGTTATCATTAATTTATTTATAAGTTAATTGTTTTTTAATATAAAAACCTTTTTTGTTTTTAACAAATGTTTTAAAACATACATTTCAAAATAAATTAATTATTGTGATATTGTTAATAGATTTCATAGCAATTACCTTGATTAATTACCCTGCAGCTGCAGATATAATTGAGTCATTAATAGTTTTTAAAAATATTTTGAAACATTAATTACCTCGGAAAATTTCACAATAATGTATAACAATACTAATTACAAAATAAATTAACATCATAAAAATATAAAATAAAATTTACATACTATATAACAATAACACTAAAAGTACATTATTTTCAAAAATTCTATATAAGTTTAAAATTATAATCAACCAGATCAATTCAAAATGTCATACAAAGTGTTTGCGATATTCTTGGTAATAATGTTTGCCATAAGTATTGGTAAGTTTTATAATAACATTAAAAATTCATATTTATTTTTAACATTAATTTGTATATTTTAGTCGAAAGTACAACAATGGTTCCCGAGACCCCTACCGGTACCGGTCCGGCATGTAATACAACAAAGCAGCCTAAAGAACACCTACAGGATCGACATGGAAAAGCACGCCACCATGCTAACACAACCAGTACAACACCTAGCAGTGGCCAATGATCTGGTTCAATTAAAAACATTATCCTTATATGATATGAATTTTAAAAATTTTAATACAATTTGTTGACATTAAATAAATATTAAAATTAGCATGTAGTTTATTTATTAAAATTACAAATTAATATTTTAAATGTGATTTATTATTACTAATTTTTAACATATTAGTTAAATAAATAAATATAAAATATAATCAAAATTTAAAATCATTTTAATCTTTTTTAACTCGTTTCCAAATACGAATGGCTTGATTACGGGGTCGCACTTCGCCACTGGAAGTCATAATTTTCATATAACTACGATCGGGACAACTTCCCGCTCCAGTGTATGCGAATTCGGTCAGCATACCAAGGTCAATCATATATGTCGAATTACCAATAGGCAAATTATTAGATGTAGAATTACTTATGGTTAAATTTCCACTAGTCAAATTATTCATAGTTGAATTACCAGAAGTTGAATTACTCATGGTCATATTATTATTAGTCGAGTTACTCATAATTGGATTATCACTAGTAGAATTAGTAATAGCTAAACTATCAACTGTAGTATTACTCATGGTCAAATTACTAATGGGATTATTAGTAATTGGATTCCTTTTATCACTATGATTCCTCTGAACCTTTTTTACATCAAGTAATCTTGGTGAATTCTCTTCTTGGAACCCATTGCCAAAGGTATTACTACCGCCACCTTCTGCACGAAAAAATTATCCAGCATATTATGGTGTAATAATTGCTGTGGATCAGGCTGATCCGGTAATTGTATATAGATAAACCCAACAGGTGGCGCCGATTGTTCTAGTTCAAATCTATCCAGCTAAATTTAATCTTTTTATTATGATCAACTTTACCACCTAGCCAAACTAAATCGTGCAGTTTGCTTTTGTTAAATAATAAGTTGCTAATAAAATCTTGTTCGTCCTTAGAGTGAATACTGACCAATGTTAGCAATAAATAATGACCATCACCCTGCTCATGGCAATATTCTAATGACTTGTTGAAATTGAGATAGTTGGTGTTGAACAATTTAAAACATTTTTCATCATTGTACGTTTCCCACCCATCGCAAATATCTCGGGCACTTAAGTCTGTTAAATTATAAAGCTTATTTAATAAAGTACATATTCATAATCATATTAGTAGATAGTTAACATAATAATTTGTCTATCATTAACTTAACATACTTGTTATTAATATAGATGAAATAATAAAAATTAAAAATGTGCTCATTATTTATATAATATTCAACATTGATTTTAAAATTTATAAAATAATTTACTTAATTAATTTTTATAACTTGTAAAGATCATAGATTTTATTTAACAAGTAGAAAATAATTTTAAATAGCGTTTTAATAATTTAGTATTTTTTGTTTATTTTTTCTACTTTATACCCAGCTGTTAGTGAAATCATAATCAAATTAATTAAATAAAAATTTAATTTAAGTAATAACTATATAAATAGAAACTTTACTTAAATATTACCAAGTTTTTAAACTATTATATTTGTAAGCTATTATAAGTAGATTAATAAAGTTAAATATACAATCATACTACAGTACAGTAGTTTTTCAATGTAATGTCATATGTTAATTTTATTTGATTAATTATATAAATCATAGATTTAATATTAAATCATTGTAAATTAAAAATAAATTGCATTAAAAATTTTAAAAATATTTACCAAAAATATAAAAATAAATATAAATAAATATAAATAAATAAATCTCTGATTGCTCTTAACTTCGCCAATAACATGCCCTTGATACATTAATTAGGTTCAAACAACTAATTAAATAACATCATAATTTAATAAGTAAGAGCATAAAATAATAAAACATTTACTATTTTAAAATAAAATACGGTAAATACATTTTAATTAAAATTAATTATATTATCCGAAATGTTTACAAAATTAAATTTTAATTAAACAAAATCTTAATAAGCACAAATTATAAATAATATGTTCGGAAAATATATTTAAAATTAATTTATCATTATGTTAGCATAACAAGGATTTATGTAAAAATTATTATTTTTATCGAGATTATATTGTACCTGGTAATATATTGCTTTACATAACAAACAGGAAATTTTCCAAGTAACTAATTATACACGTTTCAGGATCTAGACTTTATTTAATTATATTTATACATTTACATATATCATTAGTAATTTTAAATCACCTTAATGACATCAACTAAAATGCAATTAGTGTTTATATTCGTATTGATTTTATTGAATATATTTTTTCTTATGGAAGTTAACGGTAAATATTTTTGAAAGTACTTTAAGCTTTATATTATTATATGATTGTTATACCAGGGTGTTTTGGTGCGTATCGGGTAGTTCACATTCGTCATGGTGGTCATGGGGGTGGTGGTCATGGCAATCATGGCAATCATGGCAATCATGGCAATCATGGCAATCATGGTCAACATGATAGCACACAAAATAACCCACCTACTATTATTGATAGGGCTAAAAGTGCTGTCAATGGCTTTTTTAACCCCGGTAAAAAATCATCCTCTAGTTCTAAACGTGGTTAATTAAATTAATTAAATAGAAATTTAATTTAAGTAATAAATATATAAATAGGAAATTTTTCTTAATTATTACCAAGTTTTTAAACTATTATAATTGTAAGCTATTATAAGTAAATTAATAAAGTTAAATATACAATCATACTACAGCAATTTACAATCTAATATTATATATTAATTTTATTTTATTAATTATATAAATTATAGATTTAATATTAAATTAAATTAGTAAATTAAAAATAAATTACATTAAAAATTTTAAAAATATTTAGCAAAAAAAAATAAATAAATATAAATAAATAAATCTCTAATTGTTCTGATTTTAGTAAATAACTTGCCCTTGACACATTAATTATTTTCAAACAACTAATTAAATAACATCATAATTTATTAAGTAAGAGCATATAATAATATATTTACTATTTAAATATAAAATATCATAAATACATTTTAAATAAACCTAATTATATTATACTAAATGTTCACAAAATTAAATTTTAATTAAACAAAATCTTAATAAGCACAAATTATAAATAATATGTTCAAAAAATATATTTATAATTTATTTATTATTATGTCAGCATAACAAGGTTTTATGTAAAAATTATTATTTTATCGAGATTATATTGTACCTTGCAACATACTCCTGGTTACATAATAAACAGGAAACTTTCAAAATAACTAATTATACGCGTTTCAGGTCTAGTCTAGACTTTATTATAATTATAGTTACACATTTACATATATCATCAGTACTTTTAAATCACCTTAATGACATCAACTAAAATGCAATTAATGTTTATATCCGTATTGATTGTATTGAATATATATTTTATTATGGAAGTTAACGGTAACTATTTTTGAAAGTACTTTAAACTTTATATTATTATATAATTGTTATACCAGGGTGCTTTGGGGCGTATCGGGTAGTTTTCATTCGTCATGGTGGCCACGGGGGTGGTGGTCACGGGCGTGGTGGTCATGGCAATCATGGAAATCATGGCAATCATGGCAATCATGATAGCACACAAAATAACCCACCTACTATTATTGATAGGGCTAAAAGTGCGGTCAATGGCTTTTTTAACCCCGGTAAAAAATCATCCTCTAGTTCTAAACGTGGTTAATTAAATTAATAAATAATAA